TCTTCTTCGTTGGCGCCGTCCGTTTCTTCTCAGTCTCCTTTTTCTTCTTCTTCGTTGGGATCGTCTGCTTCTTCTCAGTCTTCTTCTCCGTTGGGATCGTCTGCTTCTTCTCAGTCTCCTTTTTCTTCTTCTTTGTTGGGATTGTCTGCTTCTTCTGAGTCTCCTTTTTCTTCTTCTTCGTTGGCGTCGTGTGCTTCTTCTCAGTCTCCTTTTTCTTCTTCTTCTTCTTCTTTTCTGTTGGGATCGTCTGCTTCTTCTCAGTCTCCTTTTTTGCTTCTTCTTCTTCGTTGGCGTCGTTTGCTTCTTCTTCGTCTACTTTTTCTTCTTCTTCTGCTCTTTCTGCTTCATCTTGATTTGCTTTTTCGGCTTCGTTTGCTTCTTTTTCTTTCTTTTCTTGTTCTTGTTAACCTTCCTCCTCCTCTTGCTGTCGTTGTTGTTCTTCTTCGCTTGATTCTTCTTCTTCTTCTTTTTGTTGTTGTTATTGTTGTTGTAGTTCTTCTTCTTCTTCTTCTTCTTCTTCTTCTTCTTCTGCTCTTTCTGCTTCATCTTGATTTGCTTTTTCGGCTTCGTTTGCTTCTTTTTCTTTCTTTTTTTGTTCTTACTAACCTTCTCCCTCCTCCTCTTGCTGTCGTCGTTGTTCTTCTTCGCTTGATTCTTCTTCTTCCTCTTTTTGTTGCCGTTGTTGTTGTTGTTCTTCTTCTTCTTCTTCTTCTTCTTCTTCTTCTTCTTCTTCTTCAGTCTACTATAACTTTCCCTCTTCTGTTTCCCTTACCTTTATAGTCTTACTTCCTTTTTTGGTCATAAAAATGTTGAAACTTGCTCAGCAAGCCATAATAATACAGGGGAAAGAGAGAATTGGTTAAATACCAGATTGGCAGCACGATCTCAATAAGAATTCCGACAGGAAAGGATCACATCCCGACATCTGATTTGGGTCGATTTACATTGTGTAAAAACAAATCCTTTTTTGTTTCGTTTCTATCAAGGCGTGAAGATGACAAAAGAATCAAAAGTCACTTATTAAAGAGGAACGCATTCGAAAATTTAAAAAAATAAGAAACATAAATCCTTTAGTAAAATTACAGTAATATCCATGTAGTTAAACTGAGTTTTTCAAAACACACGAAGTAGTTCAGACTGTAAAGGAGATCGTTGCGATAACATTTAAGAGTCGAAATACTTGCTCAAGGCTCTACATTTTTATCGGTTATGAGCGAACTTCTGTACAAAAGAATTTTATTTTATCTCAGTTTCATCAAACAATTGTTTTATCGCCGTGTTCGTCACGGGCGAACGTATTTTTAATTATTACTTTTGCGTGCAGCTAATTTGAAAAAAAATATATGAAAATCACTGACATGTGTTAATAGAAAGATAAAGATTTCTCGCCAATATTAATTAGGTGCACCTAAAAGCCGACTCGAAATTTCCATGCATTTATATAATGTCCACCGGTCATAGAAAAAAGTAAAAACAAAAAAAAAAAAAAGAAAAAAATATTTCGCTTTCGTCAAACGAGCGAAAGCTGAAGAAGAATGAGACTTAATTTGTTTAAATGTTTTCATCTGATTTGATGATTGGTTTTAAAGAAAAAAAAAACAGAAACAATTTCATCATTCAAGAAAGAAGGTTCATTTTCATTGTCATCTATAATGCTTCTGAGAAGAAAGTGTGTCTTCGCATAATATTCTTCTTAATGATAATTTCCGTATTATTATTCAGTATTTTCAATATTATTTTTCATTTATATGGTCGGTTAAAAGGTAATGCCTGTCCTTTTTGAAATACAATATCTAAACAAATGAACAGCAAGTTCTGTCCGTCCGTCCGTCTGTGAATCTGAAACCTATCAAACTCGAGCCACATTTGCTCTACATAGAATTATTATACGTTTTTGGAATCAGGATTTTTCCAGGAATTGGGCATCCTGCATTGGAATTTGTGTCCAAATGATGAGAAAACAGTTAAAAATTGAAATTTTAAAATAGACTGAAAAGAAAGTAATTTTAAAAGATTTTAAACTATATTAAGTTTAAAGTAACACAAAAACTTTGCAAATTTAAACATTTTCGTTTTAAATTCAGCTTAAAATATTTCCAAAACTTTTTGAATTAAGGAAATCAGTTTTATTTCTTCACAATGCCAAGGAATCAGAGATAATGTAATAGGTTTCGTGACGTAGAGTTTTGAAGTTCCGCAGAGTTTGGGATTTGCAGAATTTAATTTTTCGGCCCAAATCAGACATTCGGCTCAAATCGTTTTTTTAATTGAAAATGGACTTATAGCCCCAATCAGAGTTAAAGTGAGGTTTTGAAGTTCCCTTTAGTGAATTGAAGAATTCAAAATTATTTCTTCAAAAATATCATTGCTGTTTTCTAAAAAGGGCCAGAGGTTCCTCTAGTTTGGGACCAGAGTTGCAATTAGCATTCTGCAGATGGTAGCTTAAAACTTCGTCTGGTTTTTAAGTTAGTATTCAATATTGGAAGCATTAGAAATTCATATAAAAATGAACGCAAAGCATTTTAATATAAGCTTAAACAGAGTTTCTTTTCTTCTTTATATTCCTGCAGATATTGTTCGAAAAGTAATGCAAGTCCTTTTAAAATTATATCAGATTTCAAAACTGAAAAAAAAATATAGCATGTCAAATTCAGTCAGTTATGTGCCATGCGTGATACACGTGTAGGAGATCATGCATCTTTCGATACATGACTGACGAAGCAGATGTTTTATCCTGCAGTAGGAGGCTATATCTTTCTGCGGTAGACCAGTTGCCATCCAAGGCTATAGAACCCGGTCTGTTCTGCTATTTGCCCATAACTAAGGGGGGAAGAGGATTCATGCCTTTCACAGGGGTATTAGCACGTAAGTGAATGTAATGGATTCGACTGGAATTCGAACTCAGCTCTTCGATTCCTCAATCTTAGCCGCTATCCATTACTCCACCATGCTTCCTTAATGTCGAATTAAACAGAAAAATATTCGGATTCCAGGCGTATTTCTCTATAGAATTTAATTACTTATCATAGGAGTGTTGTTGAAAAGATATTTCCTTTTTTTTCACTCACATCTGTCTTCATAGCAGAAGCATACAAAGCAGACAAATTAAACTTTGAAGTTTCAGGATTCTAAATCTAGGCTTAAAGATTAGATATGGAACCATGGACCATTTTTGTTCATTTTCCTTCCTTTTCAAACATAATATTCAATATCTGAATTTCTATTTAAATTCCTAGGATCAGGGTGCATCAATATTTACAATCAGCCTAACTATCTTTACAATTGTTATTATAAACATTTCGCTATTGTACCCTGCAGTCATTGAATCCCACAGGTTTTCTTCTTTATCTTTCGATCCGGGCATTTTGAACTGAACCCTTTATTCAATCTAAGTGGGCTAGAAATTTCTCATTCTGTTCTATATACGAAGCGAGGTTTTTATGGCTGATTTTTGGCGCTGCTCTGTGAGTACTCAACATATTTGCAGAGGTTTGGAGTAGGTTTGATTTATTTGTCTTCTGTCTGTTGCCGTTGACGATTCTAATCCGATGATTCTGGTCAGGTTCAATAAGGCCCCAACCATTCCCCTGACACAAATGACATCTTAAACTGAGAGATGTCCATTGTCTATGCATTTTCAGAAAATGGAATATTCCATCCATCTGTCATCCGCCATCACGGTCCGCTCAAATTTCGATAATCCATGTCGGCTGGGTATTCACACGACGTAACATGAAGATACGGTGTCGCCATTCAAAATCTTTACATGGAGTGCTAAGTCATACCATTTAAGACATAATGATATATATATATATATATATATATATATATATATATATATATATATATATATATATATATATATATATATATATATATAATGTGTGTATGTAGGGGACTCATGTGTGTGAGTGTATTTTGTTTCAATTATATCTGTGCAGCAGATGGTGGTTAAGATATGGAAGAGTGATTGAGTTCTGAAAAATGTCGGAAATGATTAAAAAAATCTTTATATAAAATCAAAATATTCTCTCACAATTTACTATTTAATCTTTAAATCCAATATTTCTTCATAATTTTCCCTTTCTGATTATCAATATATTTCTATCTATCTATCTATCTATCTATCTATCTATCTATCTATCTATCTATCTATCTCATTCCATCCACATCTATCAATCTATCTATCTTCATTATCTGATCTGTAATGTCAGTAATTATTCACATATTTATTTTGTCAAGGATATTCTCCCAATCAACGATACTTTGTTGAAATAATTAACCACACACACACAAACACACACAAACACACACACACACACACATATATATATATATATATTAGGAAAGTTTCAGGGTAATTATCGAGGACTGACATAGGTTTTGAGAAGTTTTGGTCGTCATAACATTTCATAATTTTTATATCCCATAATAATTGCTCTAGATATATTTTGAGCAATTTATTGACAAAATTCTCTATACCTTGACATATGTAAAATGAAATAATTTTACATATGTCAATAGGTGTTAATATTATTATTATTAATATTAATACTTACACACACAAACACATACACACGCACACACACTACACGCACACACACACACACATATATATATAATTATATATATATATAATTATTTATTCGAAAATTATAACATAAATTGTTTGAACACTTCTGGTGTCTTATCATAGCGATTGTGCTGAATTCAACCATTCATCAATAGCTATTTTTATAGTGATTCTATAACATATTTATGTTATAATTTTCAAATATATATTTATATGTGGTCTACTCTGTATTGAGCACTCTTTTAAGAATAGTATTTGTGGGTTATTGGAATTTATTCCGTATACACCAATCCTATACTTGTATATATATATATATATATATATATATATATATGTGTGTGTGTGTGTGTGTGTGTGTGTATCGATGTGTGTGTGTGTGTGTGTGTATCGATGTATGTGATTTCATGTTTTGTGTTTTTCTTGACAG